GTGCCACTGGTGTCCCATGGCTGGTGCAGGTGTCCCTGTGTGTGTGCACTGTAGCCCGTGTGTGTCCCTGCGTGTCCCCGCGTGTCACACACATGTCCCTGTGTCTCCTGCTTGTGTCCTTGTGTGTCGCTATCTGTCCCTGTGTGTCACACGCGTGTGTCTCTGTGTCCTCGTTTGTCACACACATGTCCCTGTCTGTCCCTGAATGTCCCCTTGTGTCACACACGTGTCCCCCTGTGTCACACACATGTCCCGTGTGTCACACACATGTCCCGTGTGTCACACACGTGTCCCTGTCTGTCCCTGTCTGTCCCTGAATGTCACATGCGTGTCCCCGTGTGTCACACACATGTCCCGTGTGTCACACGCGTGTCCCCGTGTGTCACACACATGTCCCTGTCTGTCCCTGAATGTCACACACGTGTCCCCGTGTGTCACACACATGTCCCGTGGGTCACACGCGTGTCCCCGTGTGTCACACACATGTCCCGTGGGTCACACACATGTCCCCGTGTGTCACACGCGTGTCCCCACGGCTCTGCGGTGCCACCGCCGGTGTCCCGGCCCTGCCGCCGTGGCCCTCGCTCCTCCCCACGCTCCCCTCTCCGCCTGTCGCCTGTCGCCTGTCCCTGGTGGCTGTGACAATATTCCGGCTGCTCGCCAAGTGTCGGGGTTGCCATGGGAACGACAAACCCGCGGCGATGCCGCTCCAGCGGCTCCCCGGGAGCTCCGGAGCGATTCCCGAGCCCTGCCCCGCTCCTGCCGTGCCCACCGGGCCCCGCTGGCCACCACCAGCCTGGGGATTCCCTGAAGACAAAAAAAAACAAACAAAACAAAACATGGAATTTTGCCTGGAAATGCCTTTTCCATGGAACCAACCCAAAAAAATTTTTTTTTTTCTGGTGTGTGTGCAGCCACAGGTGGGGGTTTGATGGCAGGGGGGGATTTGTCCGTGCTCAGAGGTGTCGCGGTGTTGGGGACACTCAGGGACACCCAGGGACATTCAGGGACACCCGGAGGGGGTGGGTGGCAGGTGACAATCCGCACCTGTCCCCTCCAGCGACTCCTGCGTGTCCCAGCCTTGTGTTCTGAGGGGATCCCGGGGTGTTCCCGCAGGGAAGGATCCACCCAGGGACATCCAGGGACCCCGAGGGACATCCAGGGACACCCAGGGACATTCAGGGACACCCAGGGACACTCAGGGACATCCAGGGATAACCAGAGGGGGTGGGTGGCAAGTGACAGTCCCCACCCTGTCCCCTCCAGCGACTCCGTGTCCCAGCCGTGCTCTCTGAGGGGATCCTGGGGTGTTGCCGCAGGGAAGGATCCACCCAGGGACATCCAGGGACCCCGAGGGACACCCGGAGGGGGTGGGTGGCAGGTGACAGTCCCCACCGTGTCCCAGCCGTGCTCTCTGAGCCCATCCCGGGGTTTTCCCGCAGGGAGGATCCGCCCGGGGCTGCTCCAAGATGCACAGAACCACCCGCATCAAGATCACGGAGCTCAACCCCCACCTGATGTGCGCCCTGTGCGGCGGCTACTTCATCGACGCCACCACCATCGTGGAGTGCCTGCACTCCTGTGAGTGTCCCCAAGGGTCCCCTAGCGTCCCCTGGGAGCCCCAAAACCCCGCAGTGACCCCTGGCACGGTGCCCACCCTGTGCCAGGCGTGGGAGCTGCGGGGGATGGGAGGGCTGCACTGGGCAGGGGTTTTGTCCCCAAGGGGGTCTGGGGGTCCCCAAGGGGGTGTGGGGGTCGCAGAGGCTCTGTCCCTTTGTCCCCCCGCTCACAGAGGGTCCCTCTGTCCCCACAGTCTGCAAAACCTGCATCGTTCGCTACCTGGAGACCAACAAGTACTGCCCCATGTGTGACGTGCAGGTGCACAAAACCCGGCCCCTGCTCAGCATCAGGTGAGGAGGGGGCTCCTCGAGGGGCTCGGGGGGCTCAGGGGACTCGGGAGGTTCCTTGGGGGGCTGGAGGGGCTGGGAGTTCCAGAAAGAGGGAGGGACAGGGGCCCTGTGTCCATCCCTACTGTCCTGGCCCCATCCGTCTGTCCATCCATGGATTCCGTCATCCATCAATCATCCATCCATCATCCATCATCCATCATCCATCATCCATCCATTATCCATCCATCATCCATCCATCATCCATCCATCCATCCATCCATCCATCCATCCATCCATCCATCCATCCATCCATCATCCATCATCCATCATCCATCATCCATCCATCATCCATCATCCATCATCCATCATCCATCCATCCATCAT